GATACTACATCTACTTTTGTTCGTGATCGTCAACGATGATCGAGGGGATAAGAAAGATGGTCGACAAGGCGGTGAGGAAGACGATAAGACCATTATGGAAGTGGTGGAGGCGAACTGCTACTTTTGTTCGTGATGGTCTACGATGGCTTAGGATGGGGAAGATCGTCGGTGAGAGGTGAGGACGACAATTTGGTTTATATGGAAGTGGTGGAGGTGATGCGTGGTACATTTTGTACCCGAAAATAGATAATCATATAAATATTGATTAAAATTCAAATTGAAAACACTTAAAGTTTGTTCAAATTACTCTTTTTTTATATTTCATCTTTTAAAATTCAAATTTCCCACCATTTCACACCAACCATTATGACCATTAAGGCTCATTATGACCTACTACAAGTTACTAAGACGCGTTCCATCAACTATAAGGGTTATAGCCCAATAGAAATGAGAAAGTGTATGTACTTATCCATTGTCTCTTAACCAAATATAGTCTTCCAAATACTTTAAGTAATTTCCAAGGAGGTAATGCACGTTAAGATAGATCACAATTATACACTAACAGTAACATTTTCGAAAGATTAACGATGATTTGATTTTTTTCTTAGCAACTATAAAATTGTAGCTAAATCACCGGCAATTGAAAACCTTTTTGACGGTTTTCCGACGATTTTTAGAAATAAATGGTGTCGTTGATAAACCCTCGGTAATTAATAGTTCTTTTGGTGGTCTACTAACTTTTTTTCTAAAAATAATTAATTAAAAATTAAAGAATAAAAAATAAATGGAGACATCGATAAAAAGCATTTAGCATACAATTAATTCTAATATAATCAAGCTAGGACAATAGGGGGGCATTGGAGCAACAACCTTCACCTTAAGCATGGCTTCTTTCTCCATTTTCACTTCCATTTTCACATGATGTTTAATTTCTTTACATCCGTCATCTTAAAACATACCAACAAACATAAAAATCATTCCAAACAATGTTTAATAATACATCAATTATTTAAGTCAACAAAAGAACAAGAATAAAAAAAAAAAAAAATATGTGCAGGCGTCACATGCACTTATAAGCAAGGAATACATGAGTTGGCACACATAAAATAAAAAAATAAGGTAGGAAACGGTGTGGAGAAACAGAGACAACAATTGTATTCCAGGCAAAAGAAGGAATACATGAGTTGGCACACGTAAATGATCAAGATTTCCTGAATACTTTCAGATTTCCTCGTTGACTTCCTTCTGCAAAACGCAGGATGGTTCCTCTTGAAAATTGTGAATGTAGCCACACCTATATAAACCATTCCTTCCCACAAATCTAAAACGCATCACCTCTCTCTTTTTCTCTCTAAACATTACTAATGGGACAGTCAAACCATTCATACTCTAAAGCTTGTGCAGTTGCTCTTACAATTTCATATCTGATAGTAGCAACTTCAGCWGGAAGTTTTTACGATGACATTGACATTACTTTTGGAGGTGAACGTGCTAAAATACTCAATGGTGGTCAGGATCTCACACTTTCGCTCGATCAATACTCTGGCTCTGGTTTCCAGTCCAAGCATGAGTACCTCTTCGGTAGATTCGACATGCAACTGAAACTAGTACCTGGCAACTCTGCTGGCACAGTCACCACATTCTATGTAAGTACTATCATCCGTAATAGTCTTGAATTTTATGATCACGTTTATTAATGTCACAGTGTCTRACAAAATCCATGTCTTTGTATTGAATCACATCAGTTGTCATCACAAGGTGCGGGACATGATGAGATAGACTTTGAGTTCTTGGGCAACTCAAC